CCACTTTTGGTGACTACTTTAAGGAACCGAACTTTGTTGGAGAAATTAATTTACACCTAAGCTCAAAATGCTTTTGAATAAAAAATTGACTTATATTAAGCATTAGGAATATTTTTTACAAATATTTTTTAATGTTTGCATGAGCCAGTTGGTAATTCTAAAGCACTTTTTCGAATTTGTTCATTTAATTCAACTTTTTATGCCCTTGGCGACAGTGAATATTTAATGTAAGAAAAGGCTAGAAAGTTATCAAATATTTGCCACTTCGTGAAGTGTTTAATGCTCTTTTATTTCTATTTCTTCTATAATATGTTTTCCTTCCTTTGAAGTAACATCACTGTTTCAAGAGTGTACATACGAAAATGTGATCCAAGTGATAACTTATATATTATTCGCTAGCTTAAATATTAATTATGCGTGTCTCTAAATACTCGATTATTGTTAGCCATAGAGGCATTTTAAATTTGCTGCGTCCGACCCACGAAGACCCATCAAACTAGAAAAATTTTTTGTTTTAGAACTCTGTTTCCTTTCTAAGATAACGTAAAAAGTAGTTGCCATAAATAGCTACAAACTACTGCTTTTTTTTTTTTTTTAAGTATCTCACTACTCACAACTCTATCTTTTAAAAGAGTAGCATACTACAAACTACAAAAAAGTAGCAACTACAGCAGTTTTACTATTTGCAGTGCGTTACTTCCGATCTGCACATTAGATATTCGTTAAAGTGAAAATAAGATTGTTGCAGAAACAGGAGCAACTTTTTGCTCACTGCAATTAACATAATGTCCTTGCTTATTTATCAATTTCTAAAGAATCAAGTCAATTCATGTAATCAAACAATTAACAAATTAGTGTATAGAATAAGCGAAGCACACTTTTGAACTTTAACTATCTTCTTCTTCTTCATTGGCTTGACAGCCCAGGATCGGCCCTTGCCTTCCGCAAAGTTGAACTCCAGGCTCTTCTACACTTGGCCATAGACATCCAATTTGTGACTTTTAGAATATTGCGGATTATTCTTTCTTTGGGTTTCTTAACGGGTTAAGGTTTTCCGGGGTGGCGGTGTCGGCCCCACGCCCAACCCCCAACCTGGAGGGCCAGTCCCCTGATATAATCCCCAGGGGCAGGGTACAACTATACGGGAACCATTAATGCGCATACTATCTAAGTAAAATGCGAAAAACACTTGATCCCTCATTTTAATGCTCTATTTAATCTGCAGATTAGCTAGGTAGTGTGCATAGTAACAACGTATAAAGGTAATATGAACAGGAAAAACATTATAAATCATATGCATTTCCTATATAATCTGCGAAATGTCAAAAGACTTCTCGAAAATATAAACGGGCAGCAGAATTAGCTTACTATTTTTTATTATAATTTCAAAAAGCTAATTTTTCGTAATATATATTGTCTTGAATAGAAATTTAAATAGAAATCTATTTTGTTTAATTTAATTTATTTAAAGCTTTAGCTGTTATGTGTCAGCAAACTCCCCTAATGATGCGTATAAAAACCATCTCGTCATTATTTTTTTCTCAAGGAAATTGAGCTGATAAATTCTAATTTTTTTTATATATTGGACATTGCAACCATAAGACTTAGTTCTAAAAAAGTCAATAAAACGTATGGAAGAAGTGTTTTTTCTATTAAAAAAAGAAATGTACAAAAAGTTTAGCTATTTAGCGTTACTGAGGCAAAAAGAAATACAGGATTTTTTTTAAATCTCATTATCGCGAAAAATAAATTATTCAATTATCTGCTTCTTTATTTTTTTCTCTCGATCAAGTGCTAAATTACGGTGTTTTTAAACTTGAATAATAAGATAGTTTCTTTAGCGAATACTTTTAACGGTTCTAAATTTTAAACCAAAATTTATGACGCATCTAAGTAAGTTCGATTAAAATGAAGTACTCATATGCTTTGTTTCATGATAGGGCAGGAAAACAAGAAAATGTGATTTTAATGTTTTATAACTGGTATGCTTTTATTGTTTTTTGAAAAGAAAACAATCTTTTTAAGGAAAATAAATAAAGATACAAATGTCACATTTCTGGGAAATAGCCCGTGGTTATAAATATCCAAATTATCATCTGAATTCTTAGAACGTTCGAGAAACTTCAGTAAAATCCTTTCTTTTGTTAGTGTTTATCTCATAAACTATCGAATATATTTAGTTCTTGAAGCTGGCAATAATGACGAAATAAATATGCTGCGTCATAACCCTTTAGGGCAAATCCCGAATCGTTCTGTTATGGCTTTCGCTGACTCGTGTCCAGAATTTTGATTGACCATGCATTTTAGCTGTGTCAAATAAGTTATGTACTGTAGAATCCTTTTGCTAGCATCAAAATATGTTATTAAAATTTCATCGGATGTTTTATTATTTATGCATATTAATCAGAATGAATAGGGGAAAGCGTTGTGATTTTCATTAAAATATCTTTTAGTTAATTCATAGAAATTAGTGTATGTATTTATATATATATAAGCTAATACGTATGCCTCAGTTAATAAAACTTATTAGTTTTCTTCGTTTTCTTTCTCTCTTTTCTTCTTATCCTTTTGATCTTTATTGTGCTGTGTTTTAGTGATCATATTTAATGCAGTTTTAGCGCTTGATGTTATCTACTATTAATTTACTTTCTTTTTCTTTCCGTTTTTAGTTCGGTTTTCTATTTTCGTGTGTTAGGGGTCTTTGAGCCTATTTTTAAGAACCTCAACATTAATAATAATTTTTCGTCTGTTAAAAATCAGTGCAAAACGAGGAAATCATGAGTTGTTTTTTAATTAACTGTTAATTTCCTAAATTCATTAAAATTGTATAATTAAATATCATTCTTATTCATTATAAGCTTTAAATTATCCAGTATAATAATATTATCTTGCGCACATCCATTTTCGGGCAAACTCAAGGTAACTAACAAATTAAACGCGCTTCACTATTGCAATAAGAATGTGCCTTAGGAGATCACTTTATTTACGCTTCTGTTTTCATATTTTGTAATCTGGTAATATTATTACAAAAATATTCTTCAAAGATTCCGGTACGCGTTAGTTCAGTTGAATTCTTTACTTGTTGTATAGATTTCCTTTATTGTTTTGTTCTGTATTTTCTTTACATTTTATTTTCTATTTTTTGCCTTATATGTTTTGTTTCGTATCTATTTTTTACTTATTGTGTTCCATTTTCGTTTCAATTTTTTTTAGTGCTCCTCACACAATTGTATTGACATAATTTGCTTGGGCTATATTGATACAATATTAGAAAGCGCTTCTTTTTGCGGATATAATCGTGTGAGCTGATAAAGTGATTATATCTTTTCTTCATTTTGTTTTCCAGATTTTTAATAATTCTTTTTTGGATAAATTTAAAAAAATGCTTTTTTTTTCTTCTCTTGTCATTAATATTTATAATTTTCCCTGTTTTCTCAATATTTTAACTTATTTTATGAGTTCCACATACTTGCAGCTTATGCGCAGTTAATGAAACTTATTAATTTTCTTTGTTTATTTCTCTCTTTTATCCTTATTGTGCTATATATATATATATATATATTAATACAGTAAAACCTGTCTATAACGATACTGTAGGGACCTAAATAAAATATTGTTATAGGCAGGTTATCGTTATAGACAGGTTTGAAATTTAAAAGTATACGTTTAAAACTAATGATAAATTAAACTTCTTTTATAGGCTCCAAATGAAAATTTTACTTAGAATTATGAAACAGCACACAAGAAAAATTTACTTACAATTTTATGAATCAAAACAGAAATTATTTAGAAAAATAATCGGTTAGTTTTGTTTGCTTATTTTTGGAAGCAATTGCCATTTCCATGCACATAGATTTCAGTCCATCTAATGAATTCAAATGAACATCAGTTACATTTGGTAATGTTGCAACAAAATCTTGCAAAGTGTTAATTAGCAATATGGCATTCTCGGGTGAAATTTGAGTCCTGTTTTGAGAACAGTCAGCTGCTTCTTCCTCATCACTTTGATCACCCGGGATAACTTCTGCTAAAATCTCTTCATCACTTGCACCACTGAAAACCAACACATCATTATCTAAATTTAAAAATTCATCTGCGTTAAATAGAAATGATGTATTAGATGATCTTTGGAAATCACTGACAATCGAATTTAAGCCTGCCACACATTTTTCTTCTTCATCAGTGATTTCAGTAAGCTCAGTTTCTGCGTTTCCGTTGCTTTTATCCTCAAAGAAAGAAGCTTTCTTCCAACAATTTTGGATGGTGGATTGTGTCAATGAATTCCACCCTCCGGAAA